AAGGGCTGTGGATGCCCACAGCTGCAGATTTGGAGAGGCTTTGCATTTTCTTGTGTGATTCTCTGCCCGCGTCTTTTATAGTTCTAGGTTGATCTGCAGAATCTCTGCTTTCAGAGACTGGGATACTTTTTAAAAAGCAAGTATAACTTAAAATTCAGGGGGAGTGGAGATTAAATATAATTAAATCTTACTATATGTGGGCTATTCTAGATACTTATATGGCCCCCATTATCACTGTATTTGAGCACCTTACAGTCTGTAATGTATTTATCCACACAACACTGCTGTGTGACAGGGCAGTGCTGTTTATTCCCATTTTACAAATGGGGAACTGAGGCACAGAGTGCCTAAGTAACTTGCCCAAGGTCACACAGGAAGTCTGTGGAGGAGCAAGGACTTGAACCAAGTTCCCTAAGTCACATGCATGTGCCCTAACCAGCAGACTATCCTTCCTCTCTGTCATTACAGCAACAGTTTGGGTTAAATAAAAGCCACCTGAAAGTACCATGGGCTCTACTCACTCCTAGATTTTGTTGTTGGAACCTAGCCTACAGATCACTGGTGGTGAAAAGTGCACCAACCGGAGGTATACTGCGGTATAAACTGCCCACAACTCCTGCTTCACCATAGGGTCTAAAACCAGTCTAGAGAGTGAGTGAGGCTGGTTGGAGAGACGTGGCTAAGGGTACCCAACAGATGTAACGATTTTGCTCAGCTCCTGTGGAGCTGTGGTTGTAAGTTAAAGCTTTTGTTGTTAGAAACCCTGCAGAAGGCAGTGGTGTATGGACTGCCTGGTCTTTCCTGAGGTAAATCTCACCCTCAAGGAATGGGGGCTGCCATCTGGGGTGAATCTGTCCTCTTCTCTCCAAATTCCGCTATGTTCCAGAATAAATCCATCTAGAAGATAAATTCTTTAGTGCCTTATCCTGCAAGATCACACAGTGGCATTATGTCAGCACAGCTTAACAGCCACCAGGCTAGAGATGGTACTGTGTTCCGAGTCTGAAAGCTGAAGATTGGGGAGCCTCTGAGTAGGGTCAGTGCTGAATCCTGGTATTAGGATCAGTTTTCTTCTTGACATTCCATCTTTCCAATGAGGCAGAGCAGCTGTGATCACTGCTAATATTGCAAATGTGAGAGAATTTTAAGCATCCAGTTTACTTTCAAAGTTTGCTTTTGCAGTTCTCTCAGTGAGAATAGGCTAGCCAGTTTCACCTTTATTCAGAGCAATTTTTTAATAAGTTGCATATTCCGGTTCTCATACACTAGCACAATACTGTACTATTTTCCATTGCAAACCTTGAAGGAGAATATTTTATTTTTCTTTCAAATTCTTTTCATCACAATTTCTAAGAACAATCTTAGATTTTGTAAAAAAAAAACAAAAAAAACCACCCACCTGTTTGTTCCAGATCAATATTTTGGGCCAAATCCCATGGCATTTTACTAGAAAAGGGAAATTGGGTCCATTATCACCATTTTACTTACTTACCTAAATTCCTCTGCCTTTTCAAATAGAGAAGATATTTTTCACTACGCTTTCTAAAATGCTGCTGTGTCATTTTTGCTGATGCAGAATGAATTCTGCAGTTCTGTCCTTAGAGGTAGCTGAATTAAAATTCGTACAGATTGTAAAACACTTAGCAACTTTCATCCCAAAGGATTCCTGTTTAAATGTAAGGCTGCAACACCTCTGTTTTTACAACTTAAGTCATACATAAAAAATCTCCATCTTCAAAATAAAATCATCAGGTGAAATGTTAATGTTATTGTCCATACCTTCTTGATGTTAAACATGAAACAAACAGAGTAAAGTCCTTGTGTATTAAGTGAGTCTTTGCTTCTCAGCTACCCAGAACAGTAAACTACTGTCTAAACTATATTGTTTTGAACATCAAAATGACTGGTGGGGGGGGGGAGAATGTCATCTTGCAGCACATTGTCTTCACTGTTCAGGATTTTCCAAAAGAAAAGTTCCCTCTTTTACTGTATTGAATCACAGTTTGGTTATTTATAGGAATGGCTGGTATCTAAACTTCCCAAAGCGTCATTCTGGACTGGCCTTTATGGGTTTAGATTCTGTACAGTTTTGCAGTGGTCGAACAGTCAATTCCCGTTTGCAGCCTCAAGATGGTGAGTTGAGTAAGGAACTGTGAACTAGAATTTGTGTTTCAGGGGCATCCGAAGTGCATTCATCAGGCCAGTCCCTCCTGTTGCTCTCTTCAGTACAGCCATCCTCATCTTTTGACATGGAGTTGTGGTCCAAGGGGAGGCTACAGGAGCATGAAGTGCTTCATCATGATCTGCTCAAGCCAGCTGCACTAGGAACCCTAATGAAAATTCTAATTGAAAATGGCCAACTGGCTGTAGTTAGCCAACTAAATTTGGGAACAGCAATACTGGTCCTACTTGTCCTCCATTTAAAATAGAAACCAACAGAGACCTGTAGAAAACAAGAAGGACCAGAATTAGAACACCAAAGTCTAATAGAATTTCCACTAAGGACTTTTAGTCTCAGCAAACCACACTCCTGTGTTGAATATGAGAGATCTGTGATCTGCTATTTTAGACAAACTTCTGTAATTGTGAGTGATGGATGGTGGACTTCTGGCAAGTCAACAAGACAACCCTCGGGTAAAACTCAGATGCATGTGATCTGTCAGGAAAGATATTCCTTGGGTCACAGAAATGTTTAATATGTATTTCAGTCAAAGTTTGTGTATGTGCACATTACTTTTAATTATATTTCAAATGCAAAATGTACTTGGATAAACTTTCTGTTGAGGGGTGGCTCTAGGAGTTCTGCTGTCTTAAGCAAACTGGCAAATGCCCATCTCCTACCAACTCGCAGCCTTCCAGACAGAGTTACTGGACTTATTCCTGCCCTGATTTTTGGCATCCCAAAGTGATTCCTGTTGTATCTTTCTGGTAGAGCCATTCCTGCTTCTGGAAGCTCTGTCATCCGTAGTGTTAATTTCATATCGTGCACTGCTTCTCTACTGATACAATAAAAACGTATGGCAGGAAACAAAAAAATCAACCTAGAAAAGCAGATTTGTATCTGTGGAAATGTTAAAATCTTTGAGCCCAACTCTGCCCTCAGACACATGCACAGACCTGATAGTAGGATTGGGTTGTACATATATCATATAGAGAAATGTGATAAACAACATTAGGGGCCAAATTGTGACTCTCCCCTCCTTACTAACACTGATGAACAGCTACTCACAGGAGTAGCCCATTTGGGTGGCAGGTTTCAGAGTAGTAGCCATGTTAGTCTGTATCAGCAAAAACAACGAGAGTCGCCTGAATAAAGACTGGGAGTGGTTGGGTCATTACAAAACCTAAACCTAATTTCCCCCATACTAATTTCTCCCTGCTGTTACTCACACCTTCTTGTCAACTATTTGAAATGGGCCACTCTCATTAGCACTACAAAAGTTATTTTTCCTCCCTTGGCATCCTGCTGTTAATTGAATTGTCTCGTTAGACTGACCTCACACTTGGTAAGGCAAGTCCCATCTTTTCATGTGTTTATACCTGCTCCTGTATTTTCCACTCCATGCATCTGATGAAGTGGGTTCTAGCCCACTGAAGCTTATGCCCAAATAAATTTGTTAGTCTCTAAGGTGCCACAAGGACTCCTCGTTCCATTTGGGTGGGTTTTTTAAAAGCACTGATGGGCGATAGGTGCTATCCTTAACATGGGGGGTGGTGCCTATCTCCCATAGGAGCTTTTGAAAATCCAGCCAGCCAATTGACCTCATCCGAATTACTCATGTGAGTAACTACTGAAGAAGTGAGGTTCTTACCCACGAAAGCTTATGCTCCCAATACTTCTGTTAGTCTTAAAGGTGCCACGGGACCCTCTTTTGCTTTTTACTCACCACTGTGAGCAGTAAGGTTGCAAATCAGCCCTTTGTGAAACAAATCAAAGGTAAATCAAGGTATCTAGCACTGCAGGTTTCTTCTGACACCAGTGTTTCAGAGTGTTCACCTGAGAACTCTGCAATATGCTAGCATAATAGGGCAAGAGAGAAGATGGAGCATGGTAATGTTTTAAGGGCACATTTATGACTAAACACACTTGGCCGAACTGAAGAGATTGCAATATATTCTGTAAAAATAAACTCCCCATGTAACTGGGGTGGGAATGCAATGTCATAACTTTAGCAATAGCAGCACAAAGGAAACGGTAAGACTAAACCTGGCTATGGTGCTTTTAAGGATAAAGTGTAGACTGGTGGGAAAACCTTGTAACCTTGTATACTTTTGTTTCCTTGAGGTTGTCTGTAAGCAAGTGGGCCGTAGGTGTTAAGTGCTGTGTGCAGCTTAATGCTCCCAAAGGCTCTTTGACAGCTGTCAGCTGCTTTCGGAAAGCCCTGTGGATTTGCAAGAGAAAAGAAGAAGGTAATCTGTGTATATGGATGCAGCTGGCTTCCATTAGGAATGAACAAGGCTTCTCAGTACTTGTCTGCATTACAAGATTTAGTCGTGTTTGAACATGATTGTGAGCTGTCAAGTTACATGATGCTAGGATGGGATAGCCATTGCATGTCAAGCACAAGGACTGCAATTAATCCTGGCCCTTGCATTGGGCATATAAATGGGAAAGAAGGCATCGCTCTTCTGCTTGTGCATGCACTTGGGGGCCACGAGCAATCTGGCCTGAACTGTTGTCACTGTCCGAGATCTCACTGTTCCTGATAGTTACAGTTTCAAAGAAGATCATACAGAACACACGGGGGAGTCCATTCACTTACATTATTCTAGGCTAGGGTCAAATTTTGTTCTCAGTTACACTATTATAAATCAACTGAAGTCAGTGGAGTCACTCTGGATTTATTCCATTGTAACTAAAAGCAGATATTGTGTTTAATGTCATTGTAGATAGGAGTCATACCCTGGTTTAGAGTCGAAATGATCTTTGCTTCGAGTGGCATGTCAGTATATTAACCCTGTTGTGATTTCGTTTTTAGGCTTCCAGATGACATATGTGGACTTTCTATCTTCTTTTAAAAAATTAAATAAGAAAGATGGTTTGAAAAAAAAGTCCTGATTCCAAACACATAATGTTTATGTTCTAGGAATTGTGGATTTCCGGGAGTTCCGTGGCTATTACCTGGCTGGCACTTACACATCAAATTCCACACAGCAGTCGTTATGGGAAGGCCTACAGCTCTGTAGATTTCAACGAAGCATTTGCAATGGAGTTGAGATGATCAAAGGAGAGTACAGAACTATATTTGCAACCCGAATTCTACTCATCATTGGAGCCCTTCGAGATAAAAGCACCGCATATTTGAAATCACGTATGCCAGAGTATTGAAACATGTCCCTTGTGGGTGATGTGCATTAACTGTGTGCTCCTTCTCGGATCTCAGGAGAGCTTCTTTTTGCAAGAGCACTCTTGGGACCACAGTATTGGAAGCAAATCATTTGGCTGCAAATGTTTAGCTTGCCCTGAGAAGAGTTACCCAGCCCGTGTCACTAGACCAGGGGTTCTCTAACTTCATTGCACTGCGACCCCCTTCTGACAACAAAAATTACTACTTGACCCGGGGGTGGGGGGACAGGGGAGGGACGAAGCCTGAGCCTGCCCAAGCTCTGCCACCCCGGGTGTGTGTCGAGGGGGGGGGGGAAGGGAGGGAAGTGAAGCTTGAGCCCTGCCACCCAGGAATGAAGCCCAAAGGCTTCAGCTTTAGCCCCAAGTGGTGGGGCTCAGGCTTCAGCTTTGGCTCTGGGTGCTGCAGCTTGGGCTTGGGCTTTGGCCCCGGGCCGCAGCAAGTCTAATGCCAGCCCTGGTAACCCCATTAAAATGGGGTCGCAACTGACTTTGGGGTCCCGACCCACAGTTTGAGAACTGCTGCACTAGACAATTACAGCAGCATTAATACCTGTCACTAGGGTGACCAGATCAGCAGTATAAAATATGGGGGGGGCATAAAAAAAGGGGGCGGAGAAAAAAAAAGGAGTTTAAAAGGGGCCAGGGGCATTAGCAGGCCCCGGCCGCATGCGCTGCCCTCCCCGCGGAGCCTCCTGCACCCCGGCCCGCCACGGGCATATGCGGTGCGCGGTGGGTCCGGGCAGGGGCAATGCGGAGCGGGCAGGAGCTGGGTGGGCGGCAGGGGCCGGGTGGGCGGTGCGGGCCAAATCCCCGCTGCTGCTGGGGAGCCCTGCGCCTCTCCCTCCCGCTCGCAGCTGCTGCTCCTTTCCGGCGGGAGACGCGTCCCCCGCGTCTAGTCTCCCTCCCACCGGGAAGGAGCCGCAGCCGCGAGTGGGAGGGAGAGGCGCGGGGCTTCCTAGCAGCAGCAGGGATTCGGCCCACGCCCCCGCGCCGCCCACCTGGCCCCTGCCCACTCCGCACTGCTCCCACCCAGACCCACCGCGCTTCCCCGCTGGCCTGGGCAGGAGCCCTCTGGTGCAGCGGGGGGCTCAGAGCCGGAGCTGACTCACCAGCTCCAGGATCCAGGCACCGCCGCCACCCCCTCCCTCCAGGCTTGCACCGCCCTGCTGCAAGCCTGGGAGGGAGGATGAATGCTGCGTGGTTGGGGAAGAGGCGGGGCCAGGGCGGGGATTTGGGGAAGGAGGGGGCAGAGCCGGGGTGGGGAGGAGGGCGCAAGTGCCAGAGCGGAGGGCAAAATTTCTTTTTTGTCCAGTGTCCCGACCAAACATTAGTCGGGACACGGGACAAAGAAGCAAATATCGGGACAGTCCTGATAAAATCGGGACGTCTGGTCACCCTACCTGTCATTATGCAAAACATAATTAAGAATGTCCTGGAATGTAAAGTTCTCCTTACGCCTGAAGAATTCTGTGGTACTCAGTGATTGTTTACAGCCATTTGGAAAGCCAAGTCAATTGAGTGAGTTTTGCAGTTCTTACGAGCACACCTTTCCCTGCCTGCCAAATTGAAACAGGTGCACGGAGCGGAGAGGGCTTGTTGGGGTGGCATACACATGCACATACATGATCACATATGTCTATAACAGGAAGATTTTCTAGCCTTGATAGTTTCCCTTTAATCTACTGCTGTAACCATGTTTTACTAGCCAAAAATTGGGTTTAGTTTTATCCCATTAGATAGGGAATTGCATACCTTGAGATATGAAATAAATAGCCTGGAAATAACTATTCTAGGTACACATTGAGTGAGGTACCCTTGGTATCCATATCCTGTCTCTTCTGCTTATTATCACAATGAGCTGTAGGAGTTTTACACTGGATTCCCTTGTGTACTATGCCATGGTTTCAATGATAATTTGTACCCTTTCCCTGTAAATAAAGTCTGTGCACATTTTCACGGTAGAGGCACTAATTGGTTTGATTTAGATTCTTGCCTCCATTGTAATTTCTAAGTCTCTCTTTACTGTCTCTTTTTGCAGCTTGTCCCCCAGAGCACTATGGTCCTGAATGCCAGGGCAGTTGCACCTGCAATAGAATTGAAAACTGCAGCCCCTTCACTGGAGAATGTGCAGAGAATTTACAGTGTTCTCAGGAAAACGTGGCACAGCAATGCCAAAAAGGTACGTGATACACAACCCAGTGGTATCACAGTGGAGAAAGGAAGGCAGCTGGCAGAGTAACAGAGCTTCCTGATTTTACTCACACTCCCATCATCGTGATGTAAAATCCAAAAAGGCAATGCTGGGCAGAAGACATAGCAGAAAATTCCTTGGTTTCACTATTGTTTTGGTTATCAGCATGTTGGCCATGTATGCTATCAAATGTAGTCTGCTCAGCTATCCCCATAATATTTGTGATTCCCTAAGACTATTAATCATTGTGCCGGTCATTGAGTAATAATGCAGTTTCTGTTAGAGAAAGCAGCAGACAAACCCAGGAGAAAATGTGTCTAAAACCTTCTTTCATTGCTGGGTTTCATGCCTCACTATGCACCAAGTCTTGCTCTGATTGGCAGCGTTCCAACCCATGTGAATGGCATATAAACAACATAGCAATTGAATGTCATGCGACATTGCAACTTGTGTTCTTGGCTTCAGTATGTTCTAAATAATAATCCTTTGTACTTCTGTGCAGCCTCTCATCAGAGGGTCTGAAAACACTTTATGCTCATCAATTAACCCTAACCACTTCCATGAGATAAGTAGTAATATCCTCGTGTTATACAATGGGAAACAGAAGCATGCGGAGGTTAAGAGAGACACGAGGTTGGCGTCTCACAAAGAAACAGTGGTAAAGCCAGGAATAGCATCCAGACCATGGCTCTAACCACTAGATGGTATCAATTCCTTCTCTTTTTGTACTGTACTTTTGCAGTGCATAGCAATATACAGTAAAAGCTGCGTTATCCGGCACTTTACCAGTTGGAAAGCTCTAGAAATCGGCATTTCTGATATCTCCCAATAGAAATCTTCAATCTAGTAACCGGGACCGATGCCGAAGCTAACCAGAATCAATGCCGAAGCTATTTGGAACCCAAGTATTATCTGAGAGTAGTCAGTTTACGCTCGAGTTAGCCGAGAAGAGCTGAATGCTGTTCTTTCTGTTTATATCTGCCATTGTGATCAGTTGGTTTATTACTCAGTGTATTGTCCTGTGTTTATCATAAAGTATCAACACCATCCTACCATTAAGGCATCCAAAATACCAGCGAAAAGCAAAGGAGAGAAGCGTAAGAGAGTTATGTTGACATTAAAACAGAAAATAGATATTTGTACACATCTTGAAAAGGGCGAGAATAGGAACGTTTATTCATTTTATTGTATTCTAATTCTTTGAAAATTGGTAATTCATTGGTAAGTATAACTTTTAGTTAAGCAGAATTTTTGACTAACCAGCACCTCCCATTTCCCCCAGCATGCCGGATAACAAAGCTTTTACTGTAATGTGAAAATATTGGTTCACTGAAAGCTGTACTGGTTTCAGCGAATTGATGTTTGTCAAAGGGATATTCACTTTATAGGCAACTTCCAGTCTTGAGAGACCACCCCACAGCATTCCCAAATACAGTGCCTGATCCAAAGTCCATTTGAAGCCAATGGAAAGACTTACGTTAACCTCTGTGAGTTTTGGCACGTAGTGAGAACATTTGAGCTTTTATACGAAGAAGCAGTTAATTTCATTGGAGTCAGTAATGGTCACTAAAGCCAGGTTTTACTGTGTTGAATAATGGCACTTCTTTAACAAAGGTCTGGGGCTACAGTTTCCAGAA